ATCTTGGACAATGTGGTCTGCCTAAATGAAGCTACTAAAATCATAAAAGACAAAAAATTACAAGCAGCCATACTGTTCTTCGACTTCGAAAAAGCTTATGACCAGGTCAACTGGGACTTCTTGCAGCTAAGCATGGAAAAAATGGGAGTAGGACCAAACTTCAAAAAATGGATAAAGGTGCTATATGGGGATGCCCAAGGGATGGTACAAGTCAACGGTCATCTTTCAGAAAAATACAAAATGACAAGATCCGTGAGACAAGGGGACCCGCTGGCAGCCCCGATCTTCCTCTTTGTGATGGAAGCAATAGCCGCCTTTCTCCGCAAGGACCCATCTATAGAAAGACTCTCGGCAGAGTATGATGGGAGACCTCTAACTATTCCCACAGTGATGTTGTTCACAGACGACCTGACCGTTCTTATCAGAGCATCGGATTCGTCCTTTCTCGCACTCACAAAAGCAATACAGGCATTCCAGGTAGCCTCAGAAATGAAGATAAACTGGAATAAAACAGTGGGTTGGTGGCTATCCGCTTCCGACCCCCCACAACAAACCCAAGAGACCCGGGGCCTACAATGGATGGATTCTCAGCAACCTATGCGTTTCTTGGGCATCCAAGTATCAGAGGACGGAGTCAGCGAGGCCTCGGGCACCAGCCTCCTCGTCAAGATGGCCAATAAACTGACAGGATGGCAGACAGCATGCGTGTCACTCATGGGAAGGGTCCTAGTGCTTAACACCTCAATTTTATCGACAGGATGGTATGTGGCCTCACTCTGGAATCCACCCCCAGATTTATTTACCAGCCTCAAAAAGAAACTTGGGGCTTACCTCTCAACGGGGAACGCGGATAAAGACAAGTACATCTCCAAAGTGGCTTGGAAATATGTTACCAGACCCAAAGCACAAGGAGGCTTGGGCTTATTGAACCCAGTCTCACAATTCCAGGCACTACAGCTTAAATGGATAATCAAACTGCTCTTCAACAGAGAACTCCCATGGCACAACATGACCCTACATCAGATCCGCAATTTAGTCCCGTTCAAAGTGGACCCGAATATAGAAGGCTACCACTGCATACGCAACCCTGCATGGAACCCAGCACGAAAGGATAGTAGAAGACAGATGGAAGGAAAGGATCCACCCAGTAACCACTGAACCTCCTTGATAAAACACTGGAGAGACGGTTTCCCTCAGAAAATAAGAACACCACAAATTAGAGAGGAAGTGTTGAGACAACCTTTATTCGGAAACCCCCTCTTAAAAGACCAAAACCACAAACCCTGGACTCTGAATTCTAAAGGTAAACATTGGAGGAAGTGGATGGGGAATGGGGTTTGGAAGGTGGAGCACTTATGGAACAACGAAAAGAACAGATGAAACACAGCTCAAGAATTGAGAACCAAACTCAAAGGAGTCCACAGCTTAAAAGACCATTTAGAAAGGATGTTAGAAAGCATCCCTTTGAGATGGGAACTGCTCTTAAAAGCCAAGCCCAAATGGAGAGCAGGAAATTGGGCTACAAAAAAGGGACCAAACCCCCCACTCGTGGGATACAAGCTGATTAAACTGCTCGACACAGAAGAAGGGAAGGCAGAGTTTGAATCCTTTGAGCTAATGGACACACACAAAACCTGGGTAAAACCCGAAAAGA